TGATAGGTTAGGCCTAGTAGTAGTAGTAGCCTAAAGTACTACTAGTACTAGTCAGTGCTAGGAAAAACATCAAAAATGAGAACAAGAACAACAAACCTGCTTCATAAAGGAACTGCGGAAGTTGTGTTGACTTTCCACTCCCGGTTTCGCCAACAATCACAAGGGACTGTGAATCCTGAACAGCCTGAAGAATGTCTTTTTTGTGTTTTTGAATTGGAAGCGGAACCGAACCGGAACCATCATCAGTCATGGAGGCTGCCATCTTGAATGATTGGTTACGTAGCGAATGCAGAGGCGCCAGACTATTGTTAAACATAAAGCTATAAATTTAACAGTTGAATCCTGGACTTCCTTCCACCACAACTCATACACATACAATATGCGAATAGCAACGGTAAACATCTTTTCATTATGTTGTGCAATAAGTTTGTCGATGTGTGGTGCAATTTTGTCTTTTGAAGCTAGAGGCTGTATAAACATGATAAAAGAAGATCAGAAATCACGTTGTCTCTCATCAGTACACAAAGCACGGGTTGCTTGCCCAAGTCGTCAGGTTTTCTGTGCAGGAGTGTGATCAGATTCAGTGGTACGGTGACGTGAACAGCTACTGCTATATACAGGTAAGGGTGGGTTCAGTGCAATGGGTACCGACCACTGTCGGCTTAGCATGGCATTATTAGTCTTAGGAGTGATGAGGGGGCAGGGTGTGATTAACTTTGTATAATTTCAGGTAGTTTCGCTCTCTTGTCAAGTCTTTTAGATCAAAGGACATGAAAGAATAAATGAAACATGTATGAAATCAGGTTTTTAAATGTACATGTAGTGTCTTTTGACATCTCGGTGATTTCGCTTTGAACTCATTCTACATGTAAGTTAAAGTACATCCCCTGTCTGTGATACTGTGGAGGGATTCTTTTGACACTCTCTTAACATCATCTTTGACATCTTTTCTTAACATTTGGACATGGGCAGCGATAGCAGCAAACATGATAATAATGTTTTTTTTTTGAGAGTGGGAATTTTGGTCCTGTCAGTTTAATGCACTGAGTCTGAGCATTGCACATGTATGTACATGTATTGAACTATAATCACGAGCTAAGATTTCTAAAGCTAGCTTTCCAACAGATGCAGTACATGTATGTGAGCTATTTTACAGAGAAATAAAAGGCTGAATTAATTGAAAACTTTGGTTTGAATGTTCAGCTATTAATTCCTGAACATCTGTGTGATGACATATTAATAAATATTAATTTATTTTATTATGAAAACACAATATGCAGCTTCTGACTAGTGCTGGCAAGTAATGACATTTAAATTGTCAAGAAACAAGGCAAGGCAGCTCACAGATGGTACATGTGGAACACTGTTGGATGACATTCCAGCATACACCCATTGCCAATGGTTCAAATTCAAAGTCAGATTTCTAGTATTCATTTACAAATTCAAGTATTAATACAGTGTCATTTTTACAGCATATGTCTTCATTCCTTGCAATTAATCCCAGATCATGGCAGAGGCTCTGGACCCTTATTCTCATTTCTCAGAGGATCTGTCTAGTGAACTGGAGGCCCTCCGTGCAATATTTGTGGGTGAGGGAGAATTTAAAGTTGAGGAGTTACCAAGAGATGGAGACTATTGCTGTGTGGTGCAAGTGCAACCAGAAGGTCTGGCTGTGGGTCTGCAGTTCTCTCTACCTGGTGAGTCTGGCTTGTCTGTAGCCAGTGCACTGGGATCAGTATTGTAGTGGATACCATGACAAGACCAGACACAAGACCATTACAAGACCAATCATTACTAACAGGGTGAACAGTGACAGAGGAAAGAAAACCGTTGCTGTTCACTGAAGTAGCTTGTTACATGAATTCGGACTGTGATGGTCCGGTGATGGCTGTGAGGGGTCTCAACTATAACACTGCCCAGAAATCATGCCTCGATACCGATTGTTGGAATAAACCTTTACCTGAGAGCCTTTGACTCACTGTTCTCAACCCATGCCATCTCAGGCCCTTCAAACTCCCCACAGAGGTCTTGCAGGAGTTTAGAAGATTGAGTAAAGTACAGCCTGACCATCATTGCTAACACTGGGCTCATTATTACCCTTAAAGAGATGTTGCTTGTAGTCGCAAATAAATATGTGTTGTTGAAGTTGTTTGTGCTCAAAGTAAACTTTCAGTGATGAATTTTGGTATCCCTGCTTGATTACAAGCTAAATTTTAAAGAAATTAGCCCTTAAAGCTTTCCATTTTCCATTGAAAATTATTGTATTGTTCTACCAAAATTTGCATTAATACCCGAGAAATGTCATACATCTGCTACACAGCTGCATGGAGTTATTTTGTAATCTTGAAAAATGTAATAACTAACGATTTCCCAACAACTGAATAAAAAGTCATGAGACGTAACCTTCAGACTTTTATGACATTGCTGGCCATTGTACTTTGTTTGCAGAGACCTATCCTGAAACCGGTCCAAAGATAGAGATTGTACCGAATGACAAAGGTGTTCTGAATGATGGGCCACTCTTGACTGAGCTCCTGCAGCTGCTGTATCAGTCAGCACAAGAGTTTGCAGGAGAACCAGTGATGTACACACTAGTAGATGCTGCCAAGGAATGGCTGGAGGGGCGGAGCATCAGAAGAGAGGAGGAGGATGAAGGCAGCCACAGTGATGGTGAACAAGAAGAATCAGGTATGCATGTATATTGTGTTGTTGGCCTAGCTGTTCTGAACTACATAAATACATGTATGTTGAATTCAATCTCTATCATGAGTCTTTCAAGTGTCCAGAAATATGTAATGATGATGGAATATTCACAGGGGTTGAGCCAAACCGAACGTTTTATTTTCTAGTTTATGACTGATATTATAATGCTCTGAATAATATTCTGTTTACTTTTCAGTTGATGGAGAATTAGTTACACGCAGTCATAAAAACAAAAAGAAGTCAAAAAAGCTTGACTTTGATGAAGAAGAGGACAGGAAGGTAAAAGGGAAACAGAAAAAAAAGAAGCAGCCAGTTGAAGATGATCTGGGTCCGGGCAAGAAATCAAGGATGAAGACAGCCTCAGAGGTGATTTCCCGCATCCAGTGGGACAAGCAGGTCCGCCAGGAGGACTTCATCATCGGTTACCTGGACCGCTTCAAGGGTGTCATCGAGAAACCCTTCACAGCATTCAGCTGGGTGGACATAGCCACTGTGGATGATTACGTGACGCTGACAATACCCAGGCACCGTATCCAGTATTTCAAATACAAGGACCAGGTCGTGTGGGATAAGAATGAACGGCTGGATGACATCTTCGGTTCAACGGGCAGCAATAAGACAATTCTGGACACTGTGGAGATGTTCGAAAAAGAGAACCAGAACACTGAGGAGAAGGAGGCATGTGATGCAGTGGAGAATGAGGAGCGAATGGAAATAACAGAAGAATCACAGCAAGAACATGCTACACTACAAACAGAGAGGAGGCAGCGACCTTCACGCAGCGCCAATTACTTCTTTGCTATCCGCATCACCGATCCCGTCATCCGCAGGTGTGTCCAACGCATCCAGAATGCAGTCTGTGATGACGAGCCACGTCTGGAGAACTGGCGCACCGACACTGCCCGTCTCCACCTCACACTGTGCACAATGCGCCTGGACGGCCAGGAGGATATGTCCAAGGCCATGCAAGTCCTCAAGGTGCTCCAGGGAGACATCTCCAGCCTCCTCTCCCCTGTCACCATGCTCAGGTTTCAAGGGTTGGACCAATTTCATGGCCGCATCCTGTACTCTGCTCCAGAGGAGTCCCCGGCCCTGGCCAAACTCTCCCAGATGCTACAGGTGGGGTTGGCTGAGGCAGGAATCAATTTAGCGGGCAATCGCCCCGAATTCAGCCCCCATATGACTCTCCTAAAGGTGGATCGGAGGGCAACTGATGCGTTTGACAACACACCCATACGCCTTGATCATTACCAACAATTCTCACAAGCATTTATTGGTGTACAACCCATAGATACCATCCACCTGTGCTCCATGATGGACCCTCCCCGGCCAGATGGGTTTTACTATTGCCTTGGTAGTATGGACATTCAGTCTGAACACTCAATCTAGCCTTGAAATGAAAGAACCGCTTTACTCACAACAATATTAAACTATATATTTTAAGTTTACCCTTGTCCTGTACTTTAATGAACAGGAATATTTAATTTCAAAGATGAGATTGCACCGGGGAGATGTAAATGAATTTTGGATTTTTTCCCTGCCCAAGGAGTATTTTTAGATGTAACTACCTCTGATAGGTCTCTTGCATAAATCATTCAAAAGCTATTCTAGCACACCAACAGTTTGATTTGTCAGCCTTAAGCTACTATAGTTGGATTTAGGGACCTGGAAAGGGTCACACAACATAAAGTTGTCCTTCGAAACGTGCCATGGAGATTCTTGAGTCAAACCTTTGCAACTACAAACTTTAAGCAGTGTACTCAACAGCAAGGACACATTTACCAACTTGTCAGGAGTTGGCAAGCCGTTGTTTGTCTAGTTGGTTCCATTTATAAGTATGGTCTACTGAAGATGGTGTGACTACACCTACATGTAGACACGTTTTTTGAGAGGGAGGCATAATGACTCAGATCAACATTTCTCAATGATATATTTTACGGCAACAACAAGTCATCTAGCTGAGTGTGCATGGATTGTTAAATGCCACCAGATCTGCAAATATGCCCAGATGTATTCAGATTAAACCTCCATTTAAGTAATAATAAATCTGCATTTGTGTAGAGCTCAGCCTTTAGATCTCCCCACAGAATTCATTGCATATGTAGTGCCCTACATACATAAGTCAGTAAAAATAGAAGATCATCTTTGTCTTCTTGTTTTGTTATTGATACCTATAGTTTCTTTTGGCTGTTGTCAATGATTTCACTTCTAACAAGATCATTACAGATAACTAATACACGATGTGTTAATCTAGAACATGTACAGAAACATGCATGCAAGATTATTCTTGGCTTGGAGTATGATTCCTGTGATAATGCCCTCCAAACACTTGGGTAAGACACGTTACAGATACAAAGGCAAAAGCTGTGCAAGTCACTTGCAAAGTCTACACCTACTTCTGAATTGAAGAACTATCTCATCTCTGCTGTCTTGACTACATATCAACTACAAAAGCAGTACAATTTTCTGTACCGTTCTGTGGAACAGAACGTTTTAAGAAAAGTGCGATGTCCTATCTTATCCAGTTGCTGAACGACAAGTCTGGCAATATTTTGCCTGTTTTTTTAACTCGATTCCATACTTTTGTTAAGGTTTGTGTTTTTTATTGTGTCCTCTTTGTACTTTATTTCTTACTTTATCTTTCATTTCAAATGTATGCATGTGAAGATCTCTGCAATTCAGCCTTTGGCTGCTATTGAGATTTTAATAATAAATCATGAATGAATGACTTATACATTGTAGTACCTTGTAATACATCTACATCACCTTGGGAGGCTAGTATTGCTACACCACTTGGCGCAGTCAATATTTGTATAACACTTACAAGAGGCGCGTGATGGACTTGTCCCAAGTTCAACAGACAAAAACAGGTATGTTTAGAATTACAGTCCATCATAAAAAGTGACTGATTGATTAATACTCCTTTTGAATTTTTTTTCTGGCAAGTGATCGTTTTGAAGATAGCAGTGAAAGAAGGCCATTTCTAATGACACATCTAAAGACGCCTTTTTATTTAAATTCTCGATGGCAGTTTGCCTTAGGTACCTGTCTTGACATTTTGAGCATAATGCACATATGATAGAGTACCTTTAATGAATTGTCATCGATGTTTGGGTATAAAAGTGCAAGCGCACCGTGTGGGGCAAGTTCCTGGTAGACCTGTTGCCAGCGAGTGGTGCCACGCCCCCATGGGCTGTAGTTGAATAGCCAGTGGCAGTACTGATGAGTAAAGCAACTTACTAAGAAAAGTTGATGTAATTACTTGGGATATGTTTATGAGAAGGGACTCCATCCACAGGTTGTTAAACTTGTTGCTCAGTATTTAGTGGATGTAAAACAAGCTGTTGGCTGCCGTTAACGCTGCTGAATTACTAGAGCGCTAATTTGTCATACCCCACTCGGAGAAGTTTTGACGCCTCCCAGGCGCAGACATTAAAGGCTTTCAAAAGAGCAGAAATATGAGCTGTGACAGACGATGGAATGGATCTAATATGGAAGAATAATCAATTAGCTATCAAACCTATAAGGAGGGAGATTAATTGAAAATGTTTCTACAAGACCTAAACAACGTAAAAAAACAATGAGTAAAACGAAAGAAAAGCAATCGAAATTGTTCTAAGAGATTTGATATGTTTGGCATAATATTAATACACATATTTTCACTGGTATTTTTAATGCATAAATATAGGTGCAATACTGTAGCGAAAGTGCCACAAAGTTTGGTTTAAAAGATTAGTCAATTTAGGGGAGTCCCCCGTGAGTCAGTCACGGGTAGAGTCATGTGGACAGCGCGTGCAGCGTTGTGATTGGCTGCATGCTGTCTACATCCACGCTAACTGTACTTAACTTCTGAGCGCGCGAGAAGCGTAGAATTAACGGTGCTGCTTTAGCTTGGATTTGAATACATCCAGTGAAGAACTTTTTACAACGACAGCAGGTAGATTGTTCCAGTCTTTTATAGTGGAAACAAAAAATGAGTCCTGGAATGCTTTAGACTTGTGACGAATTTGTAGAAATTTTTTGATCATTCCCCCTAGCTCTCCTGGTATAAGGCCGGACCATGGAGGTAGAATCACCTCCATGGCCGGACGAACTCATCTCGGTTAACGTCAACCAATCCGTATTTCATCTTGTTGAGCATGCAATTAAAGTCTCTGGTTTCTCCTTCTTGACTGGAAAGTTTCCCAACCCAGCTTATTTAGGGTACTAGTTACAGAGCCCTCGACCCTACTTTTGTTGTTGGTACAAAATCTGGCAGCCTGCCGTTGGACTCTTTCCAATGATGGTATATTGGTTTTAGTAGAGAAATCCCACGCAGCCGTTGCATACTCAAGCACATGTCTCTATGGAATTCCATATCTGCTGTCGTCCGCCTTTTGCTTTTTGTTGTGTCCCAATTCTGCCATTTACCAGTTCCAAACATGCCATTTTCTGTCGCCCGTCGTGCGTCGCCTGTCGTGCATCGCCCATCAAATGGGTTGCACAGGACCTGCAAAAGCCGGGGTTTAACAAATGACAATGTGATGATTCCATTCACTTCTGAAGATCTTTTCCCAAGGCAAGTACAAATCCCACCTGCAGTACTAGTCCCATAATTAATGCTAATAATGCTAGACTACCCTTGCCCCTTGACAAGAAAATGTCTCCTTTCTGAGAATTAAACCAAGTGTTTTTTGGGGACACATATTTTCAGCCCCCGGCCCCTTGACAAGAAAATGTTGCCCGTCTGAGAATTCAACCAAGTGTTTTTGGGGAAAAACATTTTCAGCATAGCAAAAATGTTCAGACCAACTTATCCACAGTCTAATTCTAATTTGCATACTGTCAAAATGTGCCAACTTGTTTCATCAAATCCTAGAAAGAAATCTCCCAACCGATACAGATATTCCATTTTGTCCATTCAATTTCACCTTGAAATACAGAAATACTAGACAGTGCTGTGGATAAGAAACTGTTTGTTAAATGTATTGTTAGGGGGCAATTACCACTTGGTTTAAGTTTCAGAAAGTGTGACGTGTTGGTTTTTGTGGGTGTGGTTGCCACGGTGGACAGACTGATGAGAACAGGTTGTCCAGCACATCAGCAGTATTTATGGGGCTAACAAGTAATGTTACTTTTTAAAAGACTTCTGTGAGTCTACCTGCAACTCAAGTCGTGTCTAATTTGGAGTATACAGCAGATTTCATCATAGCTATACCCGCCCTCAAAAAATGTTGAATCAGTTCATCTCTTATGAAAACTATTAAGGAATCAAACATTGTAATTAATTTGTTATCTACATTCCGTTCTGTGGGATATCGTGCAGGGACAGACAGAAATATTACACAGGCTATAGACCTAAAGTCAGGCCATTAACGAGTAAAGTTAAGTCTTGAGTAACTAAGTTATCGAGAAAAACAATCTACCCTGACAAAAGTCTATTTGTTAATTTATTTGTGTGACAAAAAATGGTATTATTTCATATACACGTCACTTAATCGATGTCAGGATATTATTTCTTCTTTCAAGTGGAGTTCGGCACAACTGCAAAACGAATACATTTTCTAGTTCTATGGCTAAAATGAGAGTCAGGCATGGTGGATTGATCGAACAAGGACAAGTTAAAAAATACCACTGCACAATCGTGACCCAAAAAAACCCCATGAACGACAGGCAACGCACGACGGCAGATATGGAATTCCATATTGTAGTCAACATTGCACTTGTGCTAGTCAACCATATGGCGAATTTAATAAGTCATTAAAGGCTCTCACTTGAGTCCACATTCATTGTCATTTTACTGCCTTTGTTTTTGTTGTACAATAAACCAGAATTGCCTTGTGTGTCTTGAAACTAGGAGTCCGGTCACATTCATGTTGGTGACTTATTAAGCAGGTTCAGCAATCAATTCCTTCGCCGGTACATTTCCACCCAAACGGGCCTGCATCCCTTTGCCTTGAGGCTGCTCTGTTAGTCTCTCATCTGAGGAAGAAACAAGGTTCGGGAGATCTTGCCACAATGTGCATGTAGTATAATTTTGCCAGTAATGAAATGGCCCGGGCCCAATTCCATGGTGCTGCTTACCGCAAGTGAAAAATCGGTGCTTACCGTAGCAGAAAATTCTGTGCTTAGGGCAAACAAATTTCACAGGTTAGCAAGGAATTTCACATTAAGTGCATGCATACATCCCATAAATAAGGATTCTGTGCTTGAAGGGTTAACGCAGAATGTTTCCACCAGCACAGTTAGCGCAGAATGGATACGTAAGCGTGGAATTCTGTGGTAAGCAGCGCCATGAAATTGGGCCCTGGTCATTTGTTTTCTTGCTCATTACTGCAGAATTCAAATAGTACAGAACCTCTGTAGAAATAGAAGAGATAAAATGAAGTTTATTCTAAAGTAATCAGTCCTTGACTATTATATACAATCAGTCTATTATATAGATCCAATGTGATTTCAGTCAAGAAATGTATACTTTATACAGAGAACCAAAGCATGATGTCATTTTCACCCGTAAGACCATGGACTAGTGCAAAGAAATAGAGTACTCGCGCATGCTGGCTCAATCATTATCATGTACATTACATGTAAATGTATCCTCTGCTATGCAAAGAAACCCAGTGTTCTGGGGTTAAAGGTTTGCCATCTCTTGGTAGCCATGGTAGCCATGCCAAAAGGAAACCTAATTATGTTACTATCAACACTCAAGGCTGCTTTATGCTTTACCACTCAAAAAAAATAGTTCTTGGATTTCATGTTCGCTTCCTCTTTAATTCTTTGCTTTAGTGAGAAAACTCTAGCTCTTTGTAAATCTAATACACAACTTTTGTGGTTAAATTATTATCCCACAACAAGGTAACTTCATGTCAATTCTGAGGAAATGGATGCAGATGCAACAGCAGTCTCGTCAACACCGAAGGAACCAAGATTGGCTCACCGACCAAATTACTTTTTGGCCATCCCAATCACCCATCCTGTTATCCTTAGATGGGTAAGTGACATCCAGGATGCCATCTGTGAGAGAGACCCGCATCTCAAAGACTTCAGTATCTCCTTACACAAGCTCCATATCACACTGTGCACAATGCACCTGGACAGTGAGGAAGAAATCTCCAAGGCCACCAGCCTCTTCAAGTCTCTTGAGGAAGAAGTCTCTAGCCTTCTTTCTCCTGTCACCAAGCTACAGTTTCAAAGTCTGGACCAGTTTCCCCATTCAACCAGAGTTCTTTTTGCTCCTCCTGAGAACTCGCCCGTGCTCATGAAGCTCAGCAAGATGTTCACCAAACAACTTGAAGGTGGGGATATCAATCTAGCTGGCACTCGTGAGAAATACATCCCGCATATGAGTATCTTGAAGGGTGTGCCCATTCGCCCAGAATTATATAAAGATTTCTCTGACACCTTTATTGGAGTGCAAGCCATAAATGCAATCTGTTTGTGCTCAATGAGTGATCCTGCCGGGGATGATGGGTTTTACCATTGCTTAGCAAGACTGGAGATCCACTCATAAAAATTGCAAGACACACTGCTGCAGATCAAAGATTCTCAAAGGAAAGCCAGTTAATGAAATTATGTGTCAAATTTCCAAGCCCATGGACAATTCCACAGTCTGCTACATATGTAGGCATGAACTTGAAATGAGATGTGTCATTTCACTTCTCTGAACAATGATGTGAACATGTACTTATTGTGGCGAAACAGGGTAGCTGCGCAGATTTGTGTTTAGTCTGGGTCATTAATAATTCAGGCAGGTCTAAATCATGCATGAAACATGGCGCGGCAACCAATCAGAGGCGCGCATTACCTTAGGTCTGGGCGCTGTCTGCGTGGGTTGCCAGGACTTCTCAAGATGGCAGCATGCTAACCAGAGCTCTGTGGAGTTGTGTTGTCTTCTGAGTTGCGAGTGTAAATCTGACGTACGACCGCTGGTGGTTGGGGATCTACCTCAAGTGTACCTGGTGCATTCGGTTAGTGTGGTGCTTGTTCTCAGTTGCCGGAGCTGCCGATTATATCAGATCTCTTTGAAGATTGGGGGATTGTAAGACAGTCTCGTTTACTTAAGAAGTGTTAAATTATAGGGTTAGAGAACCCGTGTGAACCAGTTAATTGAGGAAATACCGGAGCTTTGACTAGAAGGATTGTGTGCCGTTGTTCCATGCTTGTTGGCATAGCGACGGTTGGTTGCAGTCCTGGTCTGGGAGCTTGCTTTCCTCGTTGAGGTTTACTGGGTGCAGGTTTCCATTAGAGTCTGGTGAGGACTCTTATCATCACCTTCTTAATCAACTTACCTGTGTAATTTTGTAATAACTTGAAGTGGGTGAGGGTTATTTAAGTCACCTTAAACCTTGTTGCAGTTTGGGAACGGTGTTGCTTCGTAAGGCAGTATAGATTATTGTTGTAAAACTTAGTAAAAGTCTACACCGTTGTGTTGTGTTGTGCAGTTACGAAGATTGTATTTGCTTGTGTGGTTAAGACTTATCAGATATAAGCCATCGGTAGATTATTTATTTAGACTGGAGGGACGGTTACCCTGATCACTGTGAGGGCTACCTGGTTATTGTGAAGGTTACCATGATCACTTTGAGGTTTACCCTGATCACCGTGAGAGTTATTCTGGTGTAGGTTAAGGATAAGGCTTATTAATCACGTTCGTGGTGCAGTTGACCACGTAGGACTACCTCCTCGTGAGGATAATTTTGTATATAATTAATTGCTGTTGTATATAAAGGATAACTGAGCACTGACATTGAATAAACCAATCATATAATTGCCTTGGAAATCACTAGTCACCGTGAGATTTAGTTCAGTCCTGTATCACTTATTGACATTTATTGTAATCTTTATTGGCTTTGGGATCAATTACCTAATCACAGAGCGGTGGTAAACTTCCACCACCAAACGAACAGCCCCTAAGGCATAGTCCACCGTTTGTTAACTGATATCCCCCCTTGCGTTTGGTTAGTCACTCATTCTTGGGTAAGGTTAAATTAATAAATTTGTGGGGTTAGGCCAGGTCAATTCTATCTCCGATGAGGCCAGTCTGCTGGTCCGCCACAAAAAGGTGTCAGTGGTCCCGCCACACTATATAGCAGTTGACGTGTTCACATGAAAAACCCTGTCTTTGGGGTAATTTGTAGGGAACAAAAAGGATTGAAAGTGAACAGAGATCACACACATTATTACAGTTTACAGCTCATTGCTTACTTTCCATTAATACTTTTTCGAAATGAATATTAACAGGATAAACATGCTGCGTCAGAGGGACAACTGATCATGTACAAATGTGGAAACTCCAATTTGAATGTGACCCACCAGTGAACTCTCCATTCCATTTCATTTTTACCTTGTGGCCTTTGATGTCTCATAAATGGAAAAGTACATGTAGGTACATGTGTAAATTGTTTTGTGACCGTAACATGCCCAAGTGGAAAGTTTTCCCTGTCTGCTAGGCTCAGTGGGACTTAAAAGGAATGATCATTCCCAAATTCCCTTTTACTTTTGTTAGTGCATCTAAACCTAAACACCCCTACTGATGAAATGGTTCAATTTCCATTTCCAACAATTGAATTGAAATTATTGGGTTTTCTGAGGCAAGTAATTTTATATGTAGAAATTTGACTTGCTCCACACTCGGGCAAGGTTTTAAAACTTAGGCAAGTCCCAACACCCTGTTGGTTGAAGAGTTATTAAATGCAACCACTCACATCCATGAACAGATTCATTTAGACATTAATATATTCTTATGTTTTGTTTCCACTCTTATTTTCATTCTAATGTATTATCCGGCCGGGCTGCCGGATAGGTTTCTGCACCGCAAGCACAAGGTTCTCACTGATACAACCGCGATTAACGGACGACGACACTGTCTCTGTTGTTTACTCTACAACTGAAGAAATCTTTATTGAAGCTCTCCTCAATAAAATAGGGTTAACAGACTGATTGGATGGTCTATGGGTCGACAGGCCGACAGACGGACCCCTGTAATATTAGGAAAATAACACAATTACTTACATGTGTAGTAGATAATACAACACTTACTACACACAACCTGCATGGTGCAAATACACACACTGGTAGTAAAAAGTCATAGGT